CCCAAATAATATCAAAACAAAAATGTCAAAATACACTATGATGGGATATTTGATTTATCTCATCTTACTCTTTTCATGAAGCCGTAATAACACTCTGACAGAAAACAGCTCTTTTTCAGGGTGGATTTAATACTGATTTGGGAATCAATCTTCACACTTAAGAATACAAACATTAAAGAAAAGTGGAACAACAAAATAAAGGACACAATGAAGGACAGTTTCTTGCGCTCACTAACAGTGGTGCTAGAAGTAGGGGGCAGAAAAATTAGGAATGCCATTCACCACCGAGGCAGTATCTCATTCTAAACCCGTAGGCAGACCATCTAATCCGAGTACAAATTTAATAGCTCAGTCAGTGCAGTAAGTGGAATGGACATGGGCTAAGCTACTTTGTATGGCATCACGCTCTTCCTCATACAGCCTTGTAAACAATTTTTGAAGCAGAACTAGGAGAGTCAAGCCAGACTTTTTAGTGAGGAGGTTAACAGATTTGAAAGTGGCGGGTGACCAGATACCCTTCTCTTATTCCATGCTCTTATCAGGTGTGAATCATCCTCAGCACCTTCTTTCTAGCAGAGATAGGAAGAGCCCTTGAAACCTTCCAGTGTAGCCCTCCACACTGCTGTTAGGCAGAGCAGCACTTTGTTCTCCCTATTGTTATCATGTGGGTGTTTATGTAATTCTCTGTCCTTTGTTATCTCTATTATTTAATTCTAGATTTCTTTGGTTTTTGGACATTGATTTTTATGACTTTTTTCTTTCATCCTTTCTTACTCTTTTTGTTCTTTGAGAGATTTCTTTTAGCTCATCTTTCATGTCATTCTATTAAATTTTTTATCATGACAAGTGCATTTAATGACTAAAAATTCTTTCTTGATACATGTTAATTTCCTTTTTGTAGCACCCTGCTCTTTTGATGGGTGTAATATTTCTTTGAGTCTACGGAAACTAAATAGTGCTTTCTCAGAAAGGTTTTTTTTTTTTCTGAAATTTCTGATTGTCTTAAGATAATTGCTTCCGTTTGCTTATCTTAGCCCCTCTCTTCAGAGAGCAGCCTTTCTTCAAATATCTATAGATCTTGGCTTGTTCATTCATATTTAATACAAGTCAATAAAATCTGATGGAGGGCTGGGGATTTAGCTCAGCGGCAAAGCGCCTGCCTGGCAAGCGCAAGGTCGTGAGTTCGGTTCCTGGTACCGGAGAAAAACCAAAAAAAAAAAAAATAAATAAAAAATAAAATCTGATGGAGAGTTGTACTGATATGGCCAGGGTTTATCAACTCCCATCCTATTACTAGTGTTTCCTTAGCTGCCACATTAGAACTGCTCCTCCCCCAGGAACATTCAGGTTCTTTGGGAAAGAACCAGTTTTTCTTCTTGGGTACCACTGCTAGTTGCTGGACTCGCCTAGGTTGGGTTGAGGTAAAAGGGCTTCTCTTTCCCACAGCAGTT